TTGAAATATGCCACATTCCCTTCATATACTACCATCGTTCAAGACTTAATTTGTGCATCATCTCTGATAAAAGGACTTCTCCTACCATCACCCGCCTCAAACACTCCTCAAAGTGTTTCCATCCAAAACTCTGGGTATTACTATAAAAGCATTTTCCACCCAACACTGAAGTCATTACAGCTACCTAGTTACCTAGTTACCTAGTTGTTACAGCTGGTAGCAAAGCCCACACATATTTCTATCCTAGCAGCTAGCACAACGCCCGGCATATAAAGAGTTCTCAATAAATATTTAACCAAATTAAACACCTTGCCCTGGTCACCTGTGAAGAGGTTTCTCAATTGAGAAGATGCCTTCATAAGATCGGCCTGCAGGCAAGACATTTTCTCCATTAATCATTGATGTGGGAGGGCTCAGCCCCATTATGAGTGGTGCCAAGACAAAACAGGTGGTCCCAGCACATTTAAGAAAGCAATCTGAGCAAGCCTGGAATAGTTTCAGGAAAAATGGACTGATTTGGGTCCTTGATCTAACAAGCATCTTCACTAACATGAGCCACCCTAACCATTCCGTGTTAGTTCCTTTTACTTTCCATATACTTATTAAATGTTCATCCCCCCCCCCCCGTGTCCTCCATTTTGGCAGTAGAGTGTAGTGGTTATGAACTCGGGCTCTGGAGTCAGATCTGTGAGCTGAGCCTGCCTGAAGGTAACTCTGCTGGACAAATTACACCCACCTCTCTGAGCCAGAGTTTTAATTATCCGTTAAACAGGTGTAGGGCAGCACCTCTTACTTATGGAGCTGGTGAGAACTGAGAAAATGCTTTAGCAGAGTCACTGGCAAGGAATGAACACTCATGGGTCATGTGTTACTATTATTATGCAAAGTCGCTCATTCTTCATTGTGTCCCTACTTACCTGGGGCTGAGCTGGGGTAAGTCAAAATGAAGAATATACTTTCTGGCCTCAAGGACCTCTAGGCCTACTACAAGATAGATGTGACTAAAGATAACCTCAATGAAGTCCCATTGTAGAGAATAGAATAAAGTGATGTAAAAGCTAAAGGAGGGCTTAGAATTCAGGCCTTCAATTCACTATCCAGTGTGGAAGGTGTGGAAGAAGCTAAGAGGAGGACCTCACCTGCAGGAGGAAGATTGTTTTTTTAAAAATATGTTCTCTTAAAGTTTCTATTACTGAGATAAAACAACATGGGGAGTAAAGTGTTTATTTCTGTTTACAACTCTCAGCTCACACTCCATCACTGAGGGAAGTCAGGGCAGTAACTTAAGGCGGGAACCTGGTGGCAGGAACTGAAGCAGAAGCCAAGCAAAATTATTCCTTATGGCCTAGTCCCCTGGCTTGCTCAGACTGCTGGCTTTTATCACCCAGCACCACCTGCCCAGTGGTAAGCACTGCCCCCAAGTGGCATTAGTCAAGAACATGCCCTACAGACTTACGTACTTACAGGCAATTCTTACGGAGCCGTTTTCTCAATTCACTGTCCCTCTTCGCAAATAACTGTAGCTTGTGTCAAGGTGACATGAAACAAACCAACAGAAATCCTTTCTGCACTAATCCCAGCACTCAGGAGGCCAAAGAAAGAAGATCGTGAGTTTAATATCACCCTGGTCTACAGAGAGGAAAGGCAAAGAGGTGCTCTGAGAGAAACTAATCTTTGAATTAAGTCATGAATAGTGAATAGAAACTTGCTTAGGGGAGAAGAACACTGAAAGTAAAAGACACAGCCATGTAAATGCTTTAAGGCCTAAGAGAACACGATAAGGAATTAGGAGTTTGTTCCAGATCCAGCTTAGTATCCACAAACAAAAACACAACAAAGGGAAAGTCAGCAGGCAGATCAGAAAGTAGAGACCCTTTAAGTCACATTATTAGTATCATTTGGACTGGGTAACGTTTTCAGCCTCTACTTAGGCCTCTCACCCTTGGGAAACACTGTTGTTGCTTGAACTTCATTCTATCTTACATGAAAGACTTTCTCTATCTTTATTCTCTTATTTCATGTATTTATTGATTTATTTGTGTGTTGTGTGTGTGTGCATGTGTGTGCCAGTTGTGTGCATGTGCTCATGAAAGTGATGAGAGCATCCAATAATCTGGAACTATAGTTGTAGGAGGTTCTGAGCCACCTCACATGGGTACTAGGAGCTGAGCTCAAGTCCTCTAGAAGAGCAGGAAGTGCTCTTAACTGCTGTGCCAACTCTTCGTCTTTCTCCATCTTTCTAATTTTACCCAACTGAAGGTTGATAAGTAGAAACATCTGAACTCAAAAGACACTAGCTATGTCATGAATGGCTTAGTCAAGTCACTTATTTCCTATGGAGGTTTTTCTCTGGTTTTTGTAGCTCCCTTCTAGCTTTTAAATTCTGTAAGTCTTATCTAAGAAGCCTTCTAAGGGGCGAATGGGTTGAGTCAATGGGTAAAAGTACTTGCCCCCAGGCATAGTGACTTGAGTTTAATTCCCAGGGCCCACACGGTGGAGAGAAATAACTCCCCCAAATTGTCCTGACTGCAACACACACACACACACACACACACACACACACACACACACACACACA